AATCCCTCCAATATTGTGATCCTGTCTCTATTGCAATATTTCTAAATTGTGCAGCTCTATGAGTGAAACTAGTAAGTAAAGTGATGCTCGATGAAAGGTGAGAACATATTGTCACAGATATTGGAGTGTAGCGTGTCAGGAAAACCATATGATGTAGTAGAGTTTGCCTCAGATGTCCAATGCCGCTGTCCCCTCACAGCTTACCCATCACCAAGCATTATCTCCCTGTCACACCACGCCATCACCAGGCCTTATCTCCCACAGCGGGGGAAACGCACACAGTAAATCACTACTGGAACCAGCTGTAGCCATCTCTTTCTGCAGCATCCCTAGCCCAGACTGCTGTCACTAACACCGCATCGGGGAAGCAACACTGAACATAGACTACTGCTTATTTTACGAGAGACCACCATGCAAGTAAGCTAATATTTATAGAGGTTTTGATTTGTGTAACTCACTAAAGCTATCAAATCCTTCAAATATATCCTTTCAATGTATAAATACAGTAACTATAAACCTTTGTTTTTGTACTAGGGGCCTATTATTTCTTTTTGGAAATCAAATCAAAGCAAGAGTAAGTAACTAAATGTGAGGTGGGAAATAGCTACAGATGAAACACAATCTTTCGACATGTTGCTAATTTGTGATGCAACAGCTCAACGAGAGAAAATCAAAGCAACTCAATTTTCAGTCCACCTCCGACCCCTGCCTCTCCTTTACAATACTGCGGGGGGTGATTAGAGACGGATAATTGGGGCACAGAAATCCAGCGGTAAAGGAGCCACATTTCTGGAATAAGGGCTAAATTCCAGAGGTAAGTGCCAAGGGATTGAACAGGCGCCAAAACACATGCCAGGTCTTTTGTTCTGCACTCCAACTCTTTTGTTTCACCTGCTGTACTAATCATTGCTGGGAGCTTTACCTGTCAGATAGCATACCCTCTCTTTATTTGATCACTTAAACTGTATTTAATTACTGCATATTCTTTCAATTCATGGGAGGCTGGGAAATGGGGCCACATGGGAAATAAAAGCTTCGAAAAAAGTACAGTTTGTACTCAGCCAGTGCAGCTTTATATAGAGTTTCATCATTGTTGTTTTATGTTTTGCTAACTTTGGTGAAAGCTAAGGATCATGAAAAAAGTAGAAGCAATAAAGCAAAAGTGCTAATTACATTACATTATATAACTTAAGCTTCATGGCAACTTTTTGACAAATAAAGCAAGCAACGCTATGGTCAACATAGTGGAGGTGGTGGAGAACAAAAAAGAGCGTAAAGACATTTCATAATGAAACTAAATTCACCAGAATGTTCAGAAAACATGCCCCAAAAGAAATGCTATTGTTACTAAGTCGATTTAAAAGGCAACAGTTTAATAACATTGTTAGTGAACCCAGTAGATCAAAGTCATGCTTGCTCTAAGGAAGACAGATATTACAAATACCGGAAAAATTCACACCCCTAATAGATGATTGTTTTGACGCTCGTGGGATGTAATGAGCACCAACGCCTCCAGGTGCAACTGATGGTGCCGACGGGGCTGCAGGCTGTTGGGTCTTGCTACATAAAGTCATTGCTTAGAAGAACTTGATACGAGTTCATTACTCCTTCCAACTATCCTCCATCTCCCTCAATCAGCACCTTTGTTACCCTTCTCACTTCCTGTAACTCTCACATTTAGTGAGAAAGGTGCAGCACCATGTTGTCTTCCTCGCATGTTTCTGTGCTGTCAACACTTTCTAAAGATAACACCTGCAATTCACCCGCACCCCTGAACCACCCCCCTCGAAACAACTCTGCTGCAATGGAGACTGCTAAAATTAACCCTTAAACAAACTTCTGAATGCCACTCGAACAAGATTGAAGACCACGGGAACAACTGAGAAAAGGCGAGGAAAATATAGGAAACAGGGCACAAAAGAACAAATAAGAGCGATATAAAAGTAGATGGGCAAATCGATGAGGCTCAGGTCAAACATGAGGACACTGAGGACTGCATAAAAGGAGATATTTTCCTTTTGAATTGACCCCATTCTCCTAGTAGGGTAAATGCAGTGAGTACTAAGAAGAGCTGGATCATTGAAGAGCCATGAACGCCTCTCCAGGACAGATACTGTTGAGCAATGCTGACCATGCACATGTGTTCCCTTTTTCCTGTACAACATAAAAACTCATTAAGTCACACACATTATCACACCCTCACTCACACATACACGCATCACAGAGCATCAGTAATCCCAAGCTGGCCAGCCTGAATGATCTCTCTGTTAGCAGTAAAGCCAAGACATGCCAAGAGGCGCATTCACACCGCAGTACTTTTCCCACAAAGGTTCATGAGAACTTAGTTCATGAGAACTCTTTTATCGCGTTCACACCAAAAAGAGCCGGTACTAAAATTAGTTCATGAGAACCTTTTTACCCCCACGAAAGTCCCTGCTAGAGAGCAGAGAGCTGCTAGAGAGCAGGGACTTTCGTGCAGCTCTCTTGTGAGAAAAGAGCTATATTTCTGATTGGCTGGGCGGATTGCAAACCACGCCCCGTAAAACTCCCAAAAAGTTTTGTGAAGCCGCCATTTTATTATCCTCGCATTAGCATTATTAGCATTAGCCCAGCGCAGAAACGCAGAGAGACTAACTTATGGCAACACAAAATAAAACATGGGAGCGGTGGAGATGAGGAGGTGTCGGCGTTCTGGCGATTTACTCGGAAGGCTTCAGTAGAAGCTGCTCGGACTCCCAGCAGCTTCTACTGAAGCCAGTCCCCAACTCCGGGGACTTCCGGCCGGGGACTTTGGGCGGCAGTATACGCCGTGAAGTGGTTTGCGGCCTGCCAGTAAACCCAAAGCAGAAGAAGAAGAAGTGACGTCAGCGGCTTCATTTGCCTAATCCACCCCCAGGGACTTATTCCGGTGTGAACGCGATCTGTACTTAGTTCATGAGGACTAAAGAGTTCTCATGAACTAAGTTCACATGATCCTTTGTGGGAAAAGTACTGCGGTGTGAATGCGCCTAAGGAGAGCGGTGTTTCTCACTCTTTTGTTCAACCTTGTGGCCCTGAAAGAAGATCAATAAACAACTGAAGACACCAACCCTAAAATCTGCTTGACATTTGACCTTAATTTGACAATCAAATCCTGATCCTTGTCAATCAAACCTGGAGACTGATGAAGACGACAAGATTAGGAAGATCTGTAAGGAAATGATTCATTCCTGGATTTCAATCAAGTCAACAAAAACATTAGTAGCACAATCAGCAATCCAGTCTTTACTGACCAACTTATTGTGAGTAAAAGAGACTTGATTCCAAAAGCAATTGGTATCCTTCATAGTGGCAGACTTTTCATGTACAGTAGTGGATAGTATGCTGACCACCACTCAGGCTGAAGGTCAAGACCCTGAAGGATTAGAGAGCGCTAAACGGCCAGATGAGTGGATAGCAGAACTGACTCGATGAAGCAACACTAAGAGGGGGTGGAAAATGGTCTTTAGATCTCTAAAGTGAATCTGCCCTGACTCGCTCACACTGTCTGATTATACGTCTCTCTAATGCAGCAGAATTACACTCCAGAGTATAAACTCCAGTCAGGATCTGGTTTGCTTCTCAGCATCTGTGCCATGCATGATGAAATCTGGATTGCGGGCGATATGTCGGGCAAACTCTTTCATCAAGCCTTGGCACAGGGCAAAGTGCAGGTTTTACTCGTACCCATCAAAAGGAAAGGCATGTCTCATGGGGATGATGCAGCTATTTCTCCATTAAAAGTTGTGCTCAAATTATGCCAAGGCAAGCAAATATAGCCCGGCTCGGTTTTTGTTTTTTTCGTAAACCAAGATGAGCCATGGGAAGATCCCTCATAAGAGCTTGTTTGTGTGTGTTTGAGCGTGGGTGTGTGTATTACATGGGCACGAGTGTGAGAGAAAGACTTGTAATACACAACCTCCTACTTAATTCACTCAGCCATTTGTGTAAATATATTTGAATAAGCAGGTGGCTGCAGTTTAGGTCAGGTTTTCTCCTCTCAGAAAGGGCAGAGCCCGTCTGTGAGACTCAAGAGGTCACTCATTCTAGAAACAACAGGGGCCATATGTCCAAAGCAATCAACTAAAACAGGCAAATATGGGGCAAGTTCAGGGGTTCATGTCCCGAGAATTGGGTTAATGCAAACTGCTATTTACAGTTTGTTGCAATAATATCTCCTAAAAGGGACTGTTAGAATGCAGAACCATCTATTTTTTTTTTAACAACTGAACTGTTATGTCATAATGTAAAATTGAAAAAATGATGAAAACAAATCCTGTACACGTGTTTCTTTACATAACATTATTAGTCACAGCCCTAGTGACCTTTAACCTCATGACATTCTCGACCAATCCGTGGCACTGATTCTAGGGGACAGAATTAGCGCTGCTATCACTGGCATGGAGAATGTGGACCATGCAGACAAGTCATGGAGGAAACGGTTGAGCACTGACAAAGTGTGGGCTGATTCAGAGGAGGGGGCTGCAGATAGAAAAAGGAATACATCGCTTCTTAAATGACGGGATGCTGGTGAACTTAGATGAATGTAATGAGAACAACAGACATCAAAATCATCCATGAGCTCTCAGTACATGATGTTCTTATTTATATAGAACTACTGTAATAAGCCAGCAGGCAAGAAAACAATCCTAAAGTTACAAAATCAAATATTTTTTATTATTAATATTTTGTTCTCTCTATAAAAGCTCCCATCATACATGTGTAATGCAATTACTGACGTGATCACAATACCATGTCGAATTTTGGAGAATTTTCAAATACCAGTCAAACCTGCCTCTGGGTGGGAGGTCTCGGGTCTGACCCAGAATGCACCACGTGTAAACCCCTGGACAGCCATCCAAGCGTGCAGTACAGTATGTTCTTAGACCTGCTGATGTGTGTGGCGGGGCGTGTGTGTGTGTGTGTGGCCACTGGGGGGGACCGATGTTAAACACATATATAAACATGTCAAACACACTCACCAATGCAGGCATGTACACGGACAGTCAGCTGGGTCCGTAGAACAACACTGTGCTTCTTCCCTCTGGACCTGACAACGAAAGAAGAAAATATATAAGCAACCGGGTATTTTGTCTCGTTTCTACACAATCATTTGACTTGCAGTACATCTCATGTGGGTCAACTGTGGGATTTAATTATAGGGAAGAATATCCTGCAACAAGTGAAACGCTATTGGAAAACGACGAGACACTATCTAAACCCTTGGCTACTACTTTAAGGAAAATATATTTTTTGTTTAATGATGGCATGACGGGAATGGTGCAGACAAACAGTTGCCTGAATAGAACTTGTACCCCTATACTGATACACATCTCTGAGCCTCGAGGACAGACAGCAAAAGTGCAGGACACAACACAACACACACACACACAAATCTCCACATACCAGCGTGCCATCATGGCCAGCACACATTCATACACAGCATATTGGGAAAACAAAATGAGCACACAAACATAAAGTAATGCATGGTATTTTGAGAGCACCTCAAACTCAATCTTTCCAATCTTCAGGAGCTAATCGCTAACGTCCATCGCTAACACGGTGATAGCATTCAATCCAAGCAGGGAAAGCACTGCTCTGATAACACACACAGCTGCAATACAATCATCACGCATAACATGCAATGGGGATAACACACACCCAAACAAGAGACCAGCTGGCCTCCTATCCTCCTGTTAAGCTGCGTTATCAGCTTTGCTCGGAAATAGAGCAAAATGTTAACACGATCTGCCGAGATGCTGATAAAACTGTGTTTTTCTTGCAGATTCATTTTCTGAAGCTGTTTGATAAAGTATTGTGTAAGAATGATAGACTATATTACTATGAAGTTCAAATGGATGTTTTGGATTAAAATGCTAGTGAGATGTGAGGGATAGGATTCATTTTTATTTTATACGTTTGACGGACTTTGGTTAGCCAGCATCGTTATCTACAGCAGTTTCCTCCCAATTTATCTTTTCACTTTTTCTTTAGTGAGAGCTGACTCTTGAGCTGTCCTCGTCACCAGAGGACCTTGTTTACTGTCAACTGTGGTGAGCAGTGTCCTGCCACAAGTGGAATCACAATACATTGTTGATGCGTGGGAAAAAATTCTGGGTGAAAATCCTTTTATATCACTACTCTGTGTAACACTCAGTGAAAGGCTATTTCAATGTCAGTTCAGGTTTATCCATAAAAAGCAGAACAATAGGCTTAGCCTTAATTATATACAATTTAAATACATGTGTCCAGTGTTTCCCCTAGGTTTACTGCTTTGGGGGGTGTTGTTGGGATATTTTATTTTTTTAAATCCTCTGGAGCAGAGAGAGGAGCTGTGGATTATTGTTATTGATTAATGCATCGTGTTTCTTAGGGTCACAAACACTAAACTCACAACTTAAAATGAAAGTGTTTAGTTTATTTAATAAAAGGGCATTGTCAAAAGTGACAGTAGATAGATTAGTTGCAATTTGGTGCTATACATTTGTATTATTAAAAAAATGTAAATAAAAAAACACCTTGAAGGGGGGTGGGGCTCCTTTGGCACCCTACCGACAATGGTAGGGGAAACACTGTGTGTCTACAGTACAGTACACTGCTGAATAAAAGACACATGCAGTCAATCCCATCATTTAAAACCAATATGCAAATGTTTCAAAATACAATGAGAACTGCGTGATTTAAAAGTGAAATATGTAGTGTGAGGCTGAGATACTGAGTTTGACTGCTAATGTATTCATTTGTAAATTGTGACACCGCATACAGTGTACATCCAACAGAGGATGGATAAGACTTTGTCAGAAGCGTCTATCATAAACCTTTGTGATTTGTCATGCCAATGCATGATTCATTTCCTACTGTCAGTGCAGTATGACCTTGGTTAGATGATAGACAGGCCTGTCCTATCCAGCCAGTTCCCACAAACACACGCACAGGTCTTTATACACCTGTCCATAATCTGTCACAGGGTTTACCAGGTACACACCATAGATAGACTGTATATATAAACACTGATAAACAACTTCATGACATGTACACATGGCAACAACCACACACAGACACAGATAACAGTTGGCCTAGGACAAATAAATACACTGCAAAGGACTTCTCAACAGCAGCATTAAACACAGTGCTACTGTTTTGATACTAGGAATTAAAGATAGTTTAATTAATTCACAACTGGTTGTTGTGCTAATAAGCTAAAGTAACAACACCTGTTGAGCTCATTAATTAAAACGCACAGGCTCGTTTTTAAACGGCTGGATTTGCACAACAGTTAGCTAGCAAACACTAAAGTTATGATGCTAGCCTATACAGTATACTAGTAGTTTAAATTATGGTACACGTACCTGTTGGTTTATTTTCAACGTAATGGGTGGCTTAGTTAACTTGCTTGCTGGTCATTTAATGTTAAAATGATATACGGAAACTAATAGAAGCTAATTTAGCTAACTGCGCTAACTAGGTTAGCTACAATGTGTGCTGTTAGCTTTACCGTTATTACTGGCTACATATATTTTACAATAACATTATTTGCAATTGCAAACAAATGCAGGGATTATTTTTCGGTTACTTACTGTACATCGGTCATGACCTGTAACTGTTCTTAAACGGTTCCCTTTTTGAACAAATTGACGAGGTTTCAAACAGCCTTCACGTTTGCGGTGACAATGTGCGCAAAAAGATGCGCTAACTCTAATATGATTGGATCATTCTCCATAATAGCAGATCCACGGTCAGTTTGCCCTTATTCACTGACATTTGATAATAAAGACAGCAAGCCGTGGTAGAGGAAGATAATCTACATTAGTAAAGAAAAGATGCAATAATAAAACATTCTAGAAATACTATGTCAGAGTTAAAAGCCCTGGCGAAACGAATACAAGTATCAATACATCCATAGAGTACAAAACAATGTTGAATCTGACTTTTAAATGTGTATTAAAAATGTATGTTTTCAAAGGATTTAGTAACTAAAACTTAATAAATATAGTAGAATAAAAAGTAGCCTAACATATTTACTAATGCAATGTATTGAAGTAGAAGAACTAATTAGCATAAAATGGAAATAAATGACAAACCCTGAAAAGATGTTGATGACTACAAAGACACCTTTCACACAGAAAAGGTCACATTTAAGTGTGGCTGCTATATTGTTTGGGTCACAATCTCTACCAAACCTATTGATCACAATACAATGTGTGTCACCATCTAGATTGCTCACTACCAAAACTGTTTGAGGTGGAAATTATGAGCCCTAGTAGCAGATTTCCATTTTCCATTTCTCTTGTTGACCCAAAGAGAGACTCCAGAACTTCTGCTGGTAAAATCCAGTAAGAGACTAATATATGAGACCCACTGTTACCAAGTGGTCAAGTTGTTCTACAGTTGACAGGTTTGTGATATTGTGTCACACAACGTCGATAAATTATGAGTTATTGTAAAACAAAAACACAGAGAGAGAGCCGTAGCTGTGAAAGAGAGGGCACATCTGTCCTGCTTTCCACAGTGTTTCACACTTTCCATGAACTTGTGGTTCCAAGAAATTCATATCCAGCAGTTGTGATTCCTTCCATTTTATACAAATTTAGAAACTAAGAAGAGACATGTGTGTTTGTGTGGGGGAGAGTAAAGGCTGGGGGGGGGGGGGGGGGGGTGGGTCATTACTTCATCTCAAATGTTTTGAACAGTGAAGAGTGATAGTGTTTGAGTTTCAAACTGTGAATCAGTCTCACCCTGTGTCGTCCTGATGAAAGCCTTCCAGCTCGTCCTTTTGCTCAGCCAGAGATGACTCCAGATCCAGATAGGTGCCATTGTGGGAGAGCTGTAGCGTGCAGTCATCAAGCTATGGAAAAAAATTGAAAATATATTTGGAATACAAGTCCTGATGACAGATACAGTATAGACTTGATACAAGGTATTGGATTTCATCAAACAAAACTGAGGGCCAACTTAAAAATTGGCTTTCATACCTAAAATAGCAATGGAAAATATGATTGAGCGCTCTGACATACAGTAGGCTACATGATGGCATGTGAAATTTCCCTGGCCATGCTGTGATGTGCGTACATGAACCACCCACAGGAATGAAAAAGGTCTCGGGGCTCACTATTTTTAATAGTCCTTCACTGCAGTATGTCTCTGCATGTGTTTCACACCCTTTTTTGAAACAACTTGAGCCTGTAAAATAAAGCAACTTTACGGGGTATGGATTTCAAAAAAAGTGTGTACAGTGGCCCATGAGAAGTGGGCGAGCCATGGTGCGGCTCTGCTTTCAGCATTACAAAGCTGTAAAGGGAATTAAGTACAGTAGTAGAAACAAAGCAATAAAGGCAGCAAAACATGAAACCAAAACCAGAGGGAAACACTGAAATAAAGAAAGGTTTACGTGCGTTTCAATACCAGCCGATAAAACAACACTTAAATAATGTGTACAACTTTGAAGCTCCAGAACATATAGTTCTCTTTAGTCATTCCTACATACTTTATTGACATGCCTACATTCATGCACTTGGCAAATTCTGTTTAGTACGTGCTCTAAAACTGACCAATCTTGCACCCATGCCATCTGCAAATACATGATCTAAGAAAGCAATGCAGAATAGCCTACATCAGAATCAAGCCGCTATGCTGTGTAATGAGAAACCATGCTGAGTTTGAGGCCAGGTGCACAGTAATATATCTGCACACCACTGGCATTGATGTTTATGGGTATGGTCACATGTTGATAGCAGGTGCAAGCAGCCATTCAAGCTACAACTCGTAAAAAGTAACATGCATCACGTCTTTATTGTTACAAAGAGCTTTGCGACTTATTGTCAAAGCTGCTGATATATGAATAGGTGAATGAGATCACTGTCAGGATTTGAGTTAGGATTTAGCACCTTTATATTATGGGTAGGATTAACCTAGCCTCTGGTGTGCTGCCAAACGCCCCATGGCTGTCTGGGGCGAGCTGCGTGACGACACTCCCTGACCAGCAGCGACCACAGATCATAAGACCTGCTGCTGCCCTCCGTCTGTCCCTCCTTCTCACTGGGAAACAGAGAGACGGACTGTCGGATGGACTCACAGCATAAATATAACCTTGCTATATTTACTCTGCACTGAGGCAGCATGCGCACAAGAGCTCAAGGGTGGGTGTGTCCGCAAAGGCTGGGAGTTTGAAAGGGGGGTGACGGTCACTGCCAATGCCAAAGTGTTGCAAAGGAGATAATAATTTCTTTAAGTAATCCCAAGCTCAGAGCAAGGAAACATGTGGCATAATTAAGAGAGGTGACTCTGGGTTCTGCTCCAGTTTCCCCTCACAACAACATTAATCCATGTGTGCCAAAAAGATAATCCGCAAAGCAAAAGTGATCCAAATTCAGTCATTCAGGCAAATAAAAAAGACTGTCATGGCCATGTTTTCCAAGATAGACCACTATGATATTGTGTTGATAGTTATAAATTAGGAAGAGACTTGTGAAATGAGGCTGACAGCTAAGTAAAAAGATAAGTGGACCTTGAGTGGACTTTTACTAAAAAGCTAATGGCAAGATGATCAAATTGACAATAGGTTGATATGTTTAACATTTGACAAGTTTGTTATCGTACTTTTGTCTGTATGCATGCTGACATGTGCTCGTTAGCATTAAATACAAAGTACATCCTGGACTGATGATTACGTTTCGTTTTAATGATGGCAAATTAAAATGAAAAGAAGCAGTGTGTAGAATTTGGAGTATCTATCGGAAGAAATTTAATATTTTATTAAATGTTTTATATTACCTTAGGACCCGTATATTCTCTGCAGGCTTAGAAAGGGAGGGGGTGGGCAAAGAGGTATTCAGTTGGTACAATCTGCAACCTCACCGTCATTATTTATCAAGCCAACTTTGCCATCATTAAAATCTTGCCTTCTAGCACCACTTTAACATGTTTTAGGGTTCAAATTTAAAGTCTAACACCCGTATCACCACCTATTGAACCCTAGTGCAATTCCATTGTTATTTAGAGATTTCGTGCCAATAGGGGAGGGGGGGTAGAGAAAGTAGGAGAGTTAATCATGCCCTGTCCTACTGCCCTGCTTTCTATGCAGCACAAGACAAAAGCATTTATTGTGCTCAATCATCTAGCATTATTCAGCATTTTCTATCCACTAATAATTAAGAGTCTGTATGATCCCTAAATGAGGCCTTCTCTGAAAATCCCCCATTTGTGTCTTACACATGTCAACACCTTGTCCCTGCTTTTTTTTTTGCTGCTCAGCTTTATCTAGACACATTACTCAATCGTAGAAATACTGCTTGGACAGCGAGAAGTGAGACCACTCAGAAACCCAATATGTTAACAGCTCCCCTTCCAAAGGGTGTCTCGTTCCTAAAACACTTTGCGTGGGTAATAGCAGTAATATCAAAACAAAACACATCATGCTGGACGGAGCCGGCTGAGAGGTGGCTCCAGAAGGAACCGCAAGCTCTTCACACTCTGGGCTGGGCCAAGGGAACACTTAGTGGCTAGTATACTTTACACTCATTTAATCAAATTCTCCCCAAAGAGCGAGGCAAAGAGAACAAAGTGGGGGTAGGGGAGTAATTACTACCACGTTGAAACAACACTGAGCCTGCTGGCGATCACGCTGGGTCAACACTTAACAATAACCTTACGTAACTCCAACAAGTTTTTAGGAACTGTTTTTGTGTCAGAATCAGAGCAATAGATGATACGGCCGTTTGAAGAGCGTGCAGGAGGGTGGGTGCTACACAGCTATTACATTTCCCAGTTTTGCTTTAATGGGAACCCTTAGGTAATGAAATACTAGCTGAGCTGTTAAGTGTGCTTTGTTGTTTTTGAGGGAAATGGGAGTTTTTTTACTGCTGATGTTAAGGCTAAATTTAACTCAAACATCTTTACTTGACATCATCTTTAACATTCGAAAGTTCAACTTTGATGAACTTTGTTGGGCCTCATATTGTCAATTTAGGTTTAACAGGAAAGTGATGATTGTAATTCTGTGAAAATGAAAGGTAGTAGTTTAGCAGTTTGGATAAAATGACACATACTGTTCACATAAACCAGGGATGCACTGATTTAGCCCTGGCACGTTAGCCTAACCGTGTGTGTGTTTGCATTTGAGTCTACAAACGGGTGCATGGTCAGAGAGGTGGAAGAGGAGCTGGAGGAAGAGGTCAGGAAAACCACAGCAGCCAAAGTGAGGAGAACAAAGTGTCGCAGGGATCCAGGCCATGGCCGCAGGAATTCTGGGACAAGTGACCTATACTTTAAATGCAGAGCTCCACCATCTCAACATAATCATACAGTAGGCTTTTCTCAGAGAAGAGCACAGAAAGTTAAGACAAAAAGCTGCTTTAACAAAGAAAGACCAAAATGTTCCCTTTTGCAAGCTTTGACATTTTCCAATAATATTGTAACACCAAGGTTTAGATGCGGACAGTTTGACGGACAGATTTGCAACCGTTCAGTTTCATCCCTATAATCTGAGCACAATATTCAGTTGCCATTGCGCACACTCCTCCTTCTGATGTGAACCAAATAGCAAACACGAACGCGGGCTGTGCCATCTGTCTGTGTGGAGGTTGTAATCATAAGCTTTTCTGTGCTGTGGGCCATTTTTCATTTGTTTTGTGGCTTTTAAAGATGGGGCAGCAAAACATCTATTTGGTCTGGAAAACCACTCTGCTGTCGAACGCTGGTTTGCTGTCAGGGTTGTGAGCCAGAAGAGGACCTCTCTTTTTTCTCTTGGTGTCTCACTTTTATTTTTAATTCAATGTTTTCAGCTTGAATTTTATGGCAAATGAAGAATAAAAACAAGCTCAGCATCTGCTTTACCTCTCTGTGTGTTTCTGTGACCTAGTCTCATAAGTAAGGAATGTGTGTTGTTTTTCAGTGTTGCTTTTATTACTGAAATTCAGACACTTTCTATCAGGGTACTATAATAAACCATTATAATCTGACTCGCCACTAAATCTGATCCTCTGTGATTCATGCTTTTGGCTGGGAAACAGCTTTCACTGACTGTCACATGGATCTGGTTTCACTGATGCCATTGCACACCTGTCTCTGTGACATTGCACATATTCAGAACAAATAAAGATTTATTTTAAGACGAGAATGCATCCTTGTTCTTAAATTAGGAGTCTGTTTAGGGCTGGTGGATTGTCAGCCTTTGCCAACACTGGAATCAATCTGAATATTGAGTCCAAAACAAACTAAACCCATGTGTAATGTTGCTGCGGGCTTCAAGGAAAACTTTTGCAACCCTGTTCGAGTCCTCAGGCTGGAGAGCCAATCACTTGTGCTTGCTTGTTTTCTCAAAATAGCCTCTGAATGGTGGGTATGGAAGTTTATTTGAAGAAGGCTTAAAGTAAAAACAGCATTCAAAACAACCTCATGCAGCCCTGATTTGAACCTATAGGCCTATGTGTTAGAATATAAAGAGGAAAACAATGTAATATTGAATATGAATGTTGTGCTATTTTGGTTGTTTCCAGTGTTTTTTTGGCTTTATAACAACAACATCCTACTATGGGATTAATTCGGTAACATACATTTCAGATTATTTGATGGTAACCCTACCTTGTGTGGAGCCCTGAGGAGCCGGTGGATGCCTGCTAGCTGGTTGATGAGCGGGATGTCCTCCCTGAAGGTGTACAGCGGCGGTCTCGTCGGTTCTGGGAAGTTGGTGCTGTTGAACGGATCGGTGTCATCTAAAAACTGAACCCTGCAGACAAACGTGGCCATGGTGCATCCATGCAAGTATCTCCTCTGAGGGGATGCAGCGTGGTGTGAGGCTCGGGTCGCTGAGTGCTCCTCTCCCGGTAACGACAACAAACCCGGGTCTCCAAGCGCGCTCCTGAGGGAGGAGGAGAGGGGAGGGAGGGGGCTTGCTGGAAGCCGAAAAAGTGGCACTAGAAACCGGTTGTGTGTCCTGGCTGTCTCGCTTTTCTCCTCTTGCTTTGCTGGGATGTTTCTGTGTTATTCTCGGAGAGGCAGGTGTCCGGTGATAGAGTGAGGCAGCAGGCGGACTGCAGCCGGCCGGAGAGTGAAGGATCAGCGCAGCCTGGGACAGCCGGTCTGCTGTCTGTCTGAGTCACACTAAATCCACCCCCCTCCTCCCCCCCACAACCCCATATCTATTTTCCTCTCTTCCTCACTCCCCCCCTCCCTTCAGATCACTGTCTCCGGCTTAGCAGTGGCTTCCTATATGAAAATGAACTGCATTAATCCTTTAAAAAAACGAGTATATTTATAAATCATTTAACTAATTAAGGGACAATAAGGACCTACAGCTGTGTTAGTGCAACATTAGATTAAAGAAAAGGGAAAATCTTAAGCTTAAAATATAATAAATTAACAAATAAAGTAGATTTGTTTGGTTTGGTGTAAACTCACAAGTCACAACACTACAAGTCCAGATCAGATGAACACAGGGATAAATAATTATGTTCCTTTTTGGTGCATGTTAAACTGCAGTCTTGACAAATGCCGACCTCTAGTGGCTAAGAGGCGTAAATGCAAGTTATACAGTAATCAGAATCAGAAACTGGTTTACTGGTTTATTTAAACAGCGACGTGCAGTCAGGGGAGGCAGGGGAGGAAGAGCCTCACCTGTCATACTCATAGACTGGCCATACTACAATGTACGGAAAAACAACTAAAGAAAAACTAAATAGTAATCATAATAAAATGTCTCCACTGATCTGTGTTGTAAATGTGATTTATGTATGATTCTAATAGCTTTTTATAGTCAAAATTAGCAAATTTGCCGAGTTCCGCTACAACTACGGGTAGCGATGAGAAGTGAGGCAGGGACGAGCTCTGCCTCACGTAAGCCCACAGTAATTTGCTGGAGCACGGGCACTAATTTAGCGCGGGCACTTATTTTGTGAGCGCGCTCAAGCCAGTTACTGTGTGGTAAGGTGAGGCACAGATGAGCTCTGCCTCACCTCAAAATGCGTCACCTCACAGAAACTGTCTGGAAAGCAGGCACTAAGCGCATGCCTGTTACCATCTCACTGTAGGTCACCAATGTAATGTTTGTAGATAGATCCCTTTATTACATTTATCCTCGCCATCCATAGTCTCTAAATAACTTATTTCACGTATATGATATTTAGGCTCGCCGTACAACGGCAATGAAAAAAGCACCAGAGGACATCATCTCTGCCGCACTGAAGGGGGCGCACGTGAGCCCACAGGTCCTTGTTGCTACTGTTATTCTACGTAGAGACGGTAGACCGTAGACGTAAACAACAAACTAGACTTTTGAAACTAGAGGAAGATAAGGAGGACTTTTACAAAAAAGTAATAGAGATTGTTGTCCAGAAGGATAGCATGGACTTCATTTTCAAGTCAAGGTAAGACCACATTGGTAATGAAAATGGGATCTTACTAAGCCTCTCTGAAGAACCAGCACCTTACCGTGGTAGAGAGGTTTGTGTGCCCTGATGAACCTGGGGGCTGTGTTGTCTGGAACCTTGTGTTCCTGGTAGGGTCTCCCATGGCAAATTGGTCTCAGGCAAGGGGCCAGACTAAGATTGGTTCAAGAGACCTCATGAAAGACGACACAAGAAGTGAGGATACCCGGCCCGGAGGAAGCCCGGGGTCCCCTTCTGGAGCCAGGCCCAGAAGGAGGACTCGTCGGCGAGCGTCTGGTGGCCGGGCTTGCCCGAAAAGGCAACGTGGGCAACACCTCCGCTTCTCCGTCCCGCGGGCCCACCACCTACGGGAAACAGCGATGGGGTCAGGTGCGCTGCCAGAAGGGTGGCAGTGAAAGCGGAGGGTCTCGACGGACCAGACCCGGGCGACAGAAGCTGGCTTTGGGGACGTGGAACGTCACCTCTCTGGGGGGGAAGGAGCCGGAGCTTGTGCGGGAGGTGGAGCGTTACCAGTTGGATCTGGTTGGGCTCACCTCTACGCACAGCGTCGGCTCTGGAACCTTACTTCTGGATAGGGGTTGGACTCTATTCTTCTCTGGAGTTGCTCAAGGTGTGAGGCGCCGGGCGGGTGTGGGGATACTCACAAGTCCCCGGTTAGGTGCTTTGTTGTTGGAGTTTACCCCAGTGGACGAGAGGGTCGCCTCCCTACGCCTGCGGGTTATGGGGGGGAAAACTCTGACTGTTGTGTGTGCTTATGCACCCAACAGCAGTTCAGAGTATACGGCCTTCTTGGAGACCCTGGAAAGAGTCCTGTATGGGGCTCCTGAAGGGGACTCTTTAATCTTGCTGGGAGACTTCAACGCACATGTGGGCAATGATGGAGACACTTGGAGGGGCGTGATTGGGAGGAACGGCCCCCCTGATCTGAACCGGAGTGGTGGTTTGTTACTGGACTTCTGTGCTAGTCATGGCCATAACAAACACCATGTTCGAACATAAGGATGCTCATAAGTGTACGTGGTACCAGAGCACCCTAGGCAGAAGGTCCATGATCGATTTCGTTATCGTATCATCGGACCTGAGGCCGTATGTTTTGGACACTCGGGTAAAGAGAGGGGCGGAGTTGTCAACTGATCCCCATCTGGTGGTGAGTTGGGTCGAGTGGCGGGGGAAGCCTCTGGATAGACCTGGTAAGCCCAAACGTGTAGTTGGGGTGAACTGGGAACGTCTGGAGGAGGCCCAAGTTCAGGAGGCCTTCAACTCACAGCTTTTCGGGCATTCCTGTGGAGGTTGGGGACATTGAACCAGAGTGGTTGGTGTTCAAAGCCTCTATTGCCGAAGCCGCGGCGGGGAGCTGTGGTCTCAAGGTCCTAGGTGCCTCAAGGGGCGGTAACCCTCGAACCTCCTGGTGGACACCGGTGGTCAGGGAAGCCGTCCGACTGAAGAAGGAGGCCTTCAGGGATTTGTTATCCCGGGGGACTCCCGAGGCAGTTGCAAGGTACCGACAGGCCCGAAGGGCAGCAGCCTCATCCGTGGCCGAGGCAAAGCAGCGGGTGTGGGAGAAGTTCGGAGAAGACATGGAGAAGGACTTTCGGGCGGCACCAAAGTTGTTCTGGAAAACTGTCCGACACCTCAGGAGGGGGAAGCAGGGAACCATCCAAGCTGTGTACAGTAAGGATGGGACGTTGTTGACCTCAACTGATGGAGTGTTAGGGCGTTGGAAGGAACACTTTGAGGAACTCCTGAACCCGACAACTCTGCCCTCTATCTTAGAGGCAGAGCTGGAGTATGACGGGGGGTCAACACCAATCTCCCGGGGGGAGGTCACTGAGGTCGTCAAACAACTCCACAGTGGCAAAGCCCCGGGGGTGGATGAGATCCGCCCGGAAATGCTGAAGGCTCTGTTGAGGGACTGTCATGGTTGACACGTCTCATCAACGTTGCGTGGAAGTCGGAAACAGTACCGAAGGAGTGGCAGACCGGGGTGGTGGTTCCCCTTTTTAAAAAGGGGGATCAGAGGGTGTGTGCCAATTACAGAGGCATCACACTACTCAGCCTCCCCGGGAAAGTTTACTCTAAGGTACTCGAAAGGAGGGTCAGGCCGATTGTCGAACCTCAGATTGAGGAAGAACAATGCGGATTCCGTCCTGGTCGTGGAACGACGGATCAGCTTTTTACTCTCGCAAGGATCCTGGAGGGGGCCTGGGAGTACGCTTATCCGGTCTACATGTGTTTTGTAGACTTGGAGAAGGCGTATGACCGAGTTCCCAGGGAGTTACTGTGGGAGGTGCTGCGGGAGTATGGGGTGAGGGGGTCTCTACTCAGGGCCATCTAATCTCTGTACTCCCAAAGCGAGAGCTGTGTCCGGGTCCTCGGCAGTAAGTCGGACCCATTTCCGGTGAGGGTTGGCCTCCGCCAGGGCTGTGCTTTGTCACCAATCCTGTTTGTAATATACATGGATCGGATTTCGAGGCGTAGTCATGGGGGAGGGGGTCTGCAGTTCGGTGGACTAAGGATTGCACCACTGCTTTTTGCAGATGATGTGGTTCTAATGGCTTCATCGGTCTGCGACCTTCAGCACTCACTGGATCGGTTCGCAACCGAGTGTGAAGCGGCTGGGATGAGGATCAGCACCTCCAAATCTGAGGCCATGGTTCTCAGCAGGAAACCGATGGACTGTCCACTCCAAGTAGGGAATGAGTCCTTACCCCAAGTGAATGAGTTCAAGTATCTCGGGGTCTTGTTCTCGAGTGAGGGAACAATGGAGTGTGAGATGGGCCGGAGAATCGGAGCAGCGGGAGCGGTACTGCAGTCGCTTTACCGCACCGTTGTGACGAAAAGGGAGCTGAGCCAGAAGGCAAAGCTCTCTGTCTACCGGGCCATTTTCGTTCCTACCCTCACCTAAGGTCATGAAGGATGGGTCATGACCGAAAGAACGAGATCGCGGATACAAGCGGCCGAGATGGGTTTTCTCCACAGGGTGGCTGGTGTCTCCCTTAGGGATAAGGTGAGAAGTTCGGTCTTCAGGGAGGGACTCGGAGTTGAGCCGCTCCTCCTTCGCGTCGAAAGGAGCCAGTTGAGGTGGTTCGGGCACCTAGTTAGGATGCCACCTGGGCGCCTCCCTAGGGAGGTGTTCCAGGCACGTCCAACTGGGAAGAGACCAAGGGGTAGACCTAGGACCAGGTGGAGGGATTATATCTCTTCGCTGGCCTGGGAGCGCCTTGGGATCCCCCAGTCAGAGCTGGTTAATGTCGCCAGGGAAAAGAAAGTTTGGGGCTCTCTGCTGGAACTGCTACCCCCGCGACCCGACCACGGATAAGCGGGAGAAGATGGATGGATGGATGGACTAAGAAAGAACAATCCAATATTTAGGTTGTGGGTATCCTTTTGTTGAACGGTCTGTTTAAAATGAATCGAAACATCAGACCAAAAAAGCTTTTGAAAATAACAGAATATTTCGATTAAGGTCAGAATATAATATTTGTAAATCTGACTCTGAAAGAGTCAGTGCCTCACCAGCCATGAACCTCACCGCACGTCACTGTATTTAAAGTACTGTAGGTTGACACATACGTGGAATTCGTACTGGTGTAAATGGTGCTACATAAGCATAGATAAAGAAGATAAAATGTAAGAAAAAAACAACCAAAAATTAAATAAAAACGAGTGAAACTATTATACAAGAAAGTATTTACATGAAATCTGGATAAACAAAAGAAATATGTGCAGTATACTATTGCAAAGTACTTGGAAATAATCAAATCAAATATACAGTATTGTTAAGGAAGTGAATAGGAGGTAGCTTGTGTACTGATGTGCAACAGTATCTCTCATTTACTACATAAAAAAAGTAGTTGTTGAAAACTGCACGTGTAGTTAAAATAATAATACGAATACAAATTAAAACTAAATAAATAATATCAATAACAATATCATTAATGATAGATTTATAGGGACATCTTAAGAGGGATAGAAATTCAGAATAAAGGGAAAGTAATAGGAAATTAAACACACATGGAAAAAAATTAAATACAGTAAAAGATGAAGCTGAATAAATATAATGCATAAAATAAGTCCCTTTTAAATACACTTTGAAATTAAAAGTTTTCGAACAAGCTTACAAACAAACACTTAAATGAAAACATAGGATGTGATGAAACGGACTAGAAGAAATAAAACGCTAACAGAAAGCAGTTACAACAAGCGGTGTCATGAAGTAAATACGTTTAACAGGAGGAAGCCATGCGTTTAAGGGGCTTTTTGGATGGATGGTAGGTTGCAAACATCCTGTAACATGCCATTAAATCTCTAAGTGGGGAATCAGAGGACATTATCACTGGAGTGCAGGAAATCTAGTTTTTTAACAATCGTACGGAGACAATCAGCTTTCTATCATAATAATGTGCATCTAACTGAAAGTTAATGACCAGTTGTAAAATAAAGAACAAAGTTCAGAGGCAACCTGACCCTCCGAACTTCCAGCAGTATAATTTCTTATCTGTTTCTCTGTAACGTTCTGCAGTACAGTTCAGAATGACCATGCAGTTAATTTAAACAAAGGGTGGTAATCCAGTTGAAGATGAGAGTAACATGTGTTGTGGTGTGAGGTAATGGTCCTGGCAGTTTCCACAATTGCATTAAAGGATGCAAATTCCCCCTAGATGTGTGATTGTGTCAAAATGACCACCTCATTCTCCTCTGATAGGAAGGAATATTTTATGATGTTAACACCCATACTCCACATAGATGGTAGATGAGATGAACAGATTCTGCAATCCCACAAAACTTCGGTGTTCTTAGTTAGTCAGTAGTACTGAGAATCACTCTTTGAAGGCTGTCAGGCATTTTGGATTCACTCGACAAACACCATGAGGCTGGTTCTCCCAAACCCTGGTCTTGATGACCGAATCCCGTCTCATGCGGACCTGGAGAGGATGGAGAAGGAGGAGGCAGGGGACAGGCCCAAATGGGACAACAAAGCCCAGTACCTGCTCACCTGTGTGGGCTTCTGCGTGGGACTTGGCAACGTCTGGAGGTTCCCTTACCTGTGTCAGAGCCACGGAGGAGGTAGGCTGGGATGAGGATCATTTTCTGTAAACTCAGTGTGTTCAAAGGTTCCTCCAAGAATGCAACATACAATAAACTTAACACACAAAAAGAAAATACATAAAATACTGCAAGTCACACAATGGTACAGGTAAACGCAGGAATAAGTCAACTGTGTCCATGTCGAAAAGATAAGATAAAACAGAAAGTCAAATTAAAGTCCTGAGTCTGGTGGTCTTGATCCGGGTGTGCTGAAATTATAAAAAATGTTCTCAATGCGTCTTTACTTGTTTCCAGAAGTTGATGATGGCTTTTCCAAAACTTGGTCAGTCTACATTTGGTCAAAGTTTAACCTAGTAACCTCACATCTATAATTATAATAATAATAATAATAATCCTTGTATTTATTATAGCGCTTTATCAAAGACTCTCAAAGCGCTTTACAAATACACATTACACATACAGATCATACATGTAATGGTCATCTACAGTGGACAATACCCACAGGAGCAAATTCGGGTGAAGTGTCTTGCCCAAGGACACAACGGCCTAACAATGGATTGTAACTCATTAACAGACCCATCTGAAGGTAATTATTTATTCAAACTGAATGTTAGAATATGCAATCAAAGCAACCTGACCTGAACTTGCGTACTGTGTTTTTAAATTGTATTTTATATGTGTACAAAGATACAGTATTTATAGCGGTACACATTCAGACTGTCTTAATCTGGCACACTAACAAATATACAAATACAATTATAGAAATGCCTTTTTTCTTAGACATACATCAATTAAGAAATTAATGATGGATTTTTAAAACATTTGAAGGTTAAAAATAAGCATGTTTTTTTCAAGTTTGCAAAAAGCCATAATAATAATTGTAATTAAAAAAATTATGTCTTTATAGTCTTATTATAGTATTTATTTGTTGACAAATGTTCTGGTGTGGGTTGAAATTTTAAAGGCTAAAGTCATATGTATGAGCAAAGTGGTGCTTTAAACCATGATGCATAATCTTGGGCCTAATATCTGCACTTAGGGTGATTTAGGTTACATATTAACTTTAAGTGGTGAATGAAAGCCATTAAAGACAGAATGTCCGTTTCACTTTAAAGACCCACAGATGAGCCAAACTTCTTTACATGGACATTTTCCGAGCTTGTACATTTTAAAAACACAAATGGGAGAAGAAATTAGGAAGAAATAGTAACGGAAAACTGGATTTATGAAAGCATTTGATGTGATTTTTCCGATTCCTTGAACTTTACCCCTTGGCTTTGACATAACATGCACATATAAACATTGCCTTGTTCCGTGCTTAGATATCACCATCACTGATATATCACTTATCAGACAAACTAGTATATCTCAAGATGGCAAACAATAACGGTACCACTTTACAATAAGACTACCCTTCATCAGCCAGCATCCTTGGTATCTGTTGCTCACTGAGTTGATTCTCGCTATAGCCAATATAAGGCTTAGTCATCTTGCCAAATAGTGAGCCTGTGTTGATGTATGAAAACTATGTTAAAACTGTTTTTTAAATAGTTCTAAATGATTAATAAAGTGTTTACAACCTAATTCATAGCCTAATTATAAACCCTTTATGAATCCTTTATAAGGGTAGCCCTATTGTAAAGTGGTACCACAACAGTAACATAGGCTACTGATGTTTTTCAGGGGTAATGTTTACCATGTTTGTGTTAACATGCTAACATTTTCTAACTCGCACTAAACACAAAGTATCCTACAATTGAGGCTGATGTGGAAGTCAGTTTTGCAGGAGTTTGGTCAAAGACAAATTCATTTTCGACCTGTAGATGGAGCGAGATGGAAGTTAATGTTATATCCAAAGTTTTAATGATTCATCCTGCAAGGTCATCAAAAACCAGCAAAGCTTAAAAAACATACTTGCTAGTGGCGCTTGAGGAAAATGAGGGAATAATCAGATTGGGTGGGCTTTATACTTTAGGAAACATGAATACCTACTTACAATTTAAGTGCAACCCATAGATTTATTCATATTTTAGAGCCAACTGTACAGTAAGTATGTGGTTGTGTCTGTATATGAAGAGAACCTGTATTTTTGTTTGGGAGTTTTCTGGGCATAAAAAAAGAGCCTTTGAGTTCCCTAGTCAAACACAGCCACTTTGCTATATGCCCCTCTGCGTCTTCCTGCCTCTGCCAAGGTACAATAAAGTAACGATACACACACCTTCAGTACAATAAGCGATGATTTTTTAACGATGAGTTTTTATGTGCATCTGCCCCGGTTCAGAGTATCCCCTGTACTTCCCGATTGGCTGCAGTTTGATCTGAGGGAATTAGCACACACCCACACACACAACTGGCGGGGAGGCGTATGGCGCAGTGGACAGAGCCTTGGTGTTGGGATAAGGGGGTCACAAGTTCAAACCCCACTGCAGTCAGCATGTCGTTGTGTCCCTGAGACACCTCACCCCAAATTGCTCCTGTGGGGATTGTCCACACTATTGAGTATGTAAGTCACTTTGGATAAAAGCGTCTAACAAGTAACATCTAATGTAATGTAACTGAGTGTAGAGCAAGGTGAAACCTGAATTGATTCAAAATGAATCGGCACCACAGTCTTTTGCGCAGGCATACGTTTGCTAATTTCTGCTTTAGACCTAAACTGCTGTAACAACAAAAAGATGACCGATGACTACTTAACACTTTGTGGCAGATTTTGCAAATAGATGTTTAAAGCCTTGACATGATCATGGAGGGACTGACTAAGCTACTGTTCACTCTGATTTATTTTGGATATACAAACATATTACCATGATTCTAAGTATGAGTAGCATAACACTGCATGTCCAAGCAGGCAAACAGCACCACTCACATTAACTGAAGCTGTTTCAGACAAAAAAAAGGAAACTATATACATTTGTTTTTTAGTATATTTTGTCTAATCAATTTTATGATGGTTAAGCTACTTCAGTGCATTTCCAGTTAAAAGCCAACATTTTTAAGATGGCGCTAAACACTCACTCATGCCGTGATCAACAGGAAAAGGTGACTCACATACAAAGGTTATTGTACATTGCGTTTAGCTTGTTATCTTGAACTTTCTGTCAACCCTCAAGGCAATGTGGAGATAAGCTGAAAACATTTTGAAGGTGGAAATCCGATTTCCCAACAATCTTCGTGCCACTGATGTCAAGGTTCGTTTATGAACTGCCGTTTGGGAGAGACTGCATATTCATCTCAAGTCGTTAACATTTAGCCCATTTTACTACTGAGAGATTCACAACAATCTCTAGTAAACTATAACATCCCCTGGGCTACAATGTGTCGAAAATGGCCCAACTCCAACTACCCCAAGAAATAAGACATTATATCGTAATTCTACACATATAAAGAATTATATGTTTGGTAACTTTTAGTGACCGGCAGCAAGAGAACGAGATAAAAAAAGACATGGTGATAGCAACGTAGAAGATAAGAAATAATAAAAAAGGAATTGCACAAGTTAGATGTAAATTCAAGTATTGAAAATAGCTGTTCAATGTAATTAAATGTGTTTAAAATGTCCACCTGTTTGGCCATGAACCTGCCCCCCCTAATGTGTTGCCAATTTAATATTTAGTTGTTTCTGTAAATTATTCACATGCTGTTTTGAAATACAATATATTAACTTGTGTTGTGTTGGGATTGTGTTGACATTGATAAAAAGTGATTATTTCATGCAGGGCAGAAACTAAAGATTGTTTTTATGAATTGAGTTGTAAAGTGTTGTAAAGAATATCTAGCTTGTGACGGCATAATTACAAGCGGAGAACGGAGTAACTTGACGTCACAGCAGGCATAACAACAGCCGGTGTTTCTGGTGAGTGTTTTCCCCGGGGCGCGTGCACACGCACGCACACACACACACACACACACACACACACACACACACACACACACACACACACACACACACACACCATGTATACATCACTTCAGGGACATTACATTGACTTACATGCATTTCCTGGAGACTTATCCTAACCTTAACCATAACCAACACATGCCTAACCCTAACCCTAATCCGAACCAAGTTTTCACCCTAAAATTAATTATTAATTATTAATTATTATATACCTCCCATTTGTCCCCATAAGAGAGGCGAGTCCCCACACGTGTCTGTGTAAACAGATTTAGGTCCCCACAAGTATAGTAATGCTAGGACACACACACACACACACACATATTCCATTACATTACATTACATTACATTGCATTTAGCTGACGCTTTTATCCAAAGCGACTTACAATAAGTGCGTTCGTCCAACAAAATACAACTTGAAGAAAACAGAATCATATCAGTACATCAGGTTTCATAGAGCAAAATCATTTCAAGTGCTACTCTAGTCCTTTATTAGTATAAAAGTGCTTCGTTAATAGTTCTATCGCTCGAAGTGGAGTCGAAAGAGATGAGTTTTCAGTTTGCGCCGGAAGATGTGCAAGCTATCTGCCGTCCTGATGTCAATGGGGAGCTCATTCCACCATCCTGGAGCCAGGACAGCAAACCCACGTGTTTTCGCCGTTGGGAACTTGGGTCCCCCTCGCAGCGAGGGCGCAACGAGTCGTTTGGCTGATGCAGAGCGTAGTGCACGCGCTGGGGTGTACGGTTTAACCATGTCCTGGATGTACGAAGGGCCAGATCCATTCGCAGCATGGTAAGCAAGTACCAGTGTCTTGAAGTGGATTCTAGCAGTTACCGGAAGCCAGTGAAGCGAGCGTAGGAGCGGAGTAGTGTGGGAAAATGTAGGAAGGTTGAAGACCAGACGAGCCGCTGCATTCTGGATGAGCTGCAGAGGTCGGATGGCACATGCAGGTAGACCAGCCAGGAGGGAGTTGCAGTAGTCTAGGCATGAGATGACGAGAGCCTGGACCAGAACCTGAGTCGCTTTCTGTGTCAGCTGGGGACGTATCTTCCTGATGTTGTAAAGCGTGTATCTGCAGCAATGGGTTGTAGCAGCGATGTTTGCAGTGAAGGACAGGTTGTTATCTAGGGTCACACCCAGATTCCAGAGATTTTTCTCAAAAATGATGACTCCGTAACAGACAGTGGGCACCACTTAACAGCCAATCAGAATGAGAATATGTTTCACATCTGACTTATTCAAATTGCGAGTGATTGAGTGACAGATGAAGGTTGTTTAGGAGAAAATGTCGGAGAAGAAAAAGTTTGAGAGTGGCGCTCGGAAAAGGAAATTGTTGAGGGAAAAGGAGTTTCGAGACAAGCAGCTATTACAAAACATGTCGAAGCTTACAGGTTATTTTAAACCTGTAGGCCAGGATGAGGAGGAAGGACAGATTAGTTCTGTACCGAGCAGCAGCGCTGCAGGTCGCGGGGCCTTGGAGCCAAGTAGGCCGTCTGGTTCTGATAGCGATGGAGTAGCGGGAGAGGAAAAACAGACAGGAGGGACATTATCTGTTGGAGGAGATGGGAGAACGACGAGGACTTGCTACGTGGAGGGGAGCCAACGGCAACCGGACAAATACATGGATACGTCACTCATCTGGAGGAGAGAACCAGGCGCGCATAGAGCAGAGTGGAGAAGTGCGATCACAGAGCCTGCCGAGGCTATAAATGACTTTGATTTGTTGTTTAAATAGGGGGCCTACAAAAACTATCAGCCCCAGGGCCTGATGGCAGGTTAAGGTCTTGAGGACGCCGGAGTGCAGTGGTGGATGGTGCTGTGTTTGGCTACTGCTTGGAGTGTGCTGTGGTCTCAATCCCTCTGATGCAGCAGATATAGATCTGCTGCATCAGAGGGATTGAGACCACAGGCAAGGTAGGGTGGCCTTCACTTTCTATTATTTGGCAGCATTGATGTCTCATGCTTCACATCAGATGATGACGATATACTGTATCTGACCCAAGGTTAGAGTTTTAAATCAGAATATTGTTATTTATTGTGTTGCTCCATTTGAAAAATAATTAAAAGGCAATGATAGTTTTACCACAGCAACTATTTTGGCTGACTAAGTCGTACCAGGCAAGTATTGGCTGTAACTAACAGCATGTTGTAAATGATGGCTCATATCCAGTAAGTGTTCCAATAACCCAATAAACCATCACGCACATAACAAGTCTCTGGGAGTGCTATACCTGAATAGCCATAGTTCAGCTATAATTACTTTAATTAGTTGATTTCCCCTGCTATGATAATTCATAATCCATGTTGATACCATTCGGCATGTGAGTATGGATCAGACCAGTGATACAAGAAGTCTAACTTCATTTAACTCTGATAGGAAGGAATATTTTATGATGTTAACACCCATACTCCACATAGATGGTAGATGAGATGAGCAGATTCTGCAAGTCCCACAAAACTTCGGTGTTCTTAGTTAGCCAGTAGTACTGAGAATCACTCAGCTTTGAAGGCTGTCAGGCATTTTGGATTAACTCGACAAACACCATGAGGCTGGTTCTCTCAAACCCTGGTCTTGATGACCGAATCCCATCTCATGCGGACCTGGAGAGGATGGAGAAGGAGGAGGCAGGGGACAGGCCCAAATGGGACAACAAAGCCCAGTACCTGCTCACCTGTGTGGGCTTCTGCGTGGGACTTGGCAACGTCTGGAGGTTCCCTTACCTGTGTCAGAGCCACGGAGGAGGTAGGCTGGGATGAGGATCATTTTCTGTAAACTCAGTGTGTTCAAAGGTTCCTCCAAGAATGCAACATACAATAAACTTAAGACATAAAAAGAAAAGACATCAAATTCTGCAAGTCACACAATGGTACAGCAGGAATAATCTAATCTAAGTCAACTGTGTCCATGACAAAAAGACAAGATAAAACAGAAAGTCAAATTAAATACTGTCCTGAGTCTGGTTGTCTTGATCCGGGTGTGCTGAAATTATAAAAAATGATCTCAATGTATCTACTTGTTTCCAGAAGTTGATGATGGCTTTTCCAAAACTTGGTCAGTCCACATTTGGTCAAAGTTGAACCTAGTAACCTCATCTCTCATTATAATGGATTGTAACTCATTAACAGACCCATCTGAAGGTAATTATTATATTATTACTTAAAGGTGGGGTAGGTAAGTTTGAGAAACCGGCTCGAGATACACTTTTTGTTATATTCCATGGAATGCTCTTAACATCCCGATAGCAATGAATATCTTAAGTGCTTTGACAAAAAATCCATAAAAAAATGTCATCTGTGGAAGCCGTAGTACTGTAAAAAGCACAACGATTTTTTTAATGAATTGAGGTGTTGTAAAAAATATCTAAATCTAACGATCACACCTGGTAACAGTAAACAAGCTTTAACTATGTTATCACTAACATGTTCCTTCTATATCTGATAACGTGGGTGTCTCCCAGGTGCTTTTATGATCCCTTTTCTTATCCTGGTGGTCCTGGAGGGGATCCCGCTGCTGTACCTGGAGTTCGCCATCGGCCAACGCCTCAGAAAGGGAAGTGTAGGGGTTTGGTCTGCAATCAGCCCCTATTTGGCTGGAGTTGGTGAGTGCCTTCATTTGTAGTCCTATTTGAAATAATGGAAATCTGGTTTTCTGGTATTGAGGTAAAATGTTGAAAATACTTGCCCTACGCAGATCTTTGACATAAATGTATAGCTAACCCATTAGTTATCATCGCCCTGGTTCCCTCGACAAAGGCTAATGGGATTTTTCCATTGGGTTCCATCTGTGGCCAACTAGAGTTTGAGATAATCTTCACAAAGGAATACCACATTTATTATTTTTAAAGCATAAATGTAGTTGCCAAGTAAACATCGAACTTTAAGCACTAAATGTCAATACTACGGTCCAATGACCTTACCACATAGTAGTTCAACAGTAGTTGAGTTTCCACTTGCTTGGCATGATGACTCTTAATGTCACCAACAACCTCTGTAGTCTCATTCAGCCACTTGACATCAAGTAGCTTAAAAAATCCCAAATGGTACTGTATTTACAGACACATTTGATTTCCTAGAAACGTGATATGTAATCCTTATGTTTACCATGGACCTTGTTTATGGGATCTAACCAAAATCCAAAAAAAAAAAAAAAAAACATATACTTCAAATCAAAGGAACCAGGAGTGCAAAAACGCTGACTTATTTCCTGATTTAAAGACTCCCTTTCTAAAGAACTCTATAATAGATCCTTTTGCACTATGGAAGTATTACAGTTTAATTTCTGTGGTGCAATATTTAACACCGTTTCTTCCCCTTCTATTTCAGGTGTTGCGTCCATGACTGTCTCCTTCTTAGTGGGCATGTACTACAACACCATCATCGCCTGGGTGATGTGGTATTTCTTCAACTCTTTCCAGAGCCCCCTGCCATGGAGCCAGTGTCCTCTCAATGACAATCTCACAGGCATGTCACCATTTTAAAAACACATTTTCAATTTCAGTTTAATATTTCCGAATATGTTCTAAGGGGATTTCTTGTTTTTTCACCCTTCCTCTAGATCTAGTGTCTGAGTGCAAACGCAGCTCTCCAGTGGACTACTTCTGGTACAGAGAGACGTTGAACACCTCGGTGACTATAGAGGACGCCGGGGGTGTGCAGTGGTGGATGGTGCTGTGTTTGGCGACTGCTTGGAGTGTGCTCTATATCTGCTGCATCAGAGGGATTGAGACCACAGGCAAGGTAGGGTGGCCTTCACTTTCTATTATTTGGCAGGTTTGATGTCTCATGCTTCACATCAGATGATGACGATATACTGTATCCGACCCAAGGTTAGAGTTTTAAATCAGAATATTGTTATTTATTTTGTTGCTCCATTTGAAAAATAATTAAAAGGCAATGATAGTTTTACCACAGCAACTATGTTGGCAAGTCGTACCAGGCAAGTATTGGCTGTAACTAACAGCATGTTGTAAATGATGGCTCATTTCCAGTAAGTGCTCCAATGACCCAATAAACCATCACGCATAACAAGTCTCTGGGAGTGCTATGCCTGAATAGCCATAGTTCAGCCATAACAGGAAGTGTCAACAGATAATTTAATGTTATTGTAAAATGGTTTACCTCTCTGCCAGGCTGTATACGTCACCTCCACTCTGCCATACGTGGTCCTCACCATCTTCCTCATCAGAGGACTGACCCTGAAAGGATCGGTAGATGGAATCAAGTTCCTCTTCACGCCAGATGTTAGTATTATCATTAGATGTAGTACTCCTGACATTTGCATTGGAAGACACACTCACCACTCTGATGATGATATTATCAATCTCTAGCTAGATGAGTTGGTGAACCCGGCAACGTGGTTGGATGCAGGAGCCCAAGTGTTTTACTCCTTCTCTCTGGCTTTTGGAGGTCTCATCTCATTCTCCAGCTACAACTCTATTCAGTAAGACCATGTTGACTCTAAATAACAGAATAAAGTGCCATGAGACATGAATGTAATATTCTTATTTAATGCATTTTCTAATAAAAACGTCTAATAAAACTCTTCATTTTGTACTTTTCTACCAGCAACAATTGTGAGCAAGATGCTGTTATCATCTCTCTTATTAATGGATGTACTTCTATATATGCCGCCACTGTCATCTACTCCATCATCGGCTTCCGGGCAACGGAGCAGTTTGATGCCTGCCTTCATGAGTATGTGCATGGAACATTATGTTAATTGTTATCAAGGCAAAAGTATCGTTTTCAGTCACACAATTTAAACATTTTCCATTTCAGAAACATCCTGTTGCTGCTAAATGCGTTTGATCTCTCTGAGGGGACGTTCACAGAGGGCAACTACGATGAAGTTCTGCAGAATCTCAACAGCACGATCTCGGGGTCAGAGGTCATTCAGGGGCTGGACCTCAGCACCTGCAACCTCAGGACCTTTCTTAGTGAAGTATGACTTTTTTGGGAGGCATCAATATGTTTTTACTTTTTACTCAGTTAACAATTCTTTTGAGAATGAAAGGCTATTTAAGACTATATTGAAAAAATAAATAATCCTGTAGGTCATAATGACTTTCCTCGAGATAATAACTCAAGCAAGTGTCAAAATAAAGTCAAAATATCTAAAAAATAATAAGAATTATTCTTAAAGTCTTATGACCTAATGTTTGAAAAATAAAAATAATGAGAACATTTCTCAAAATAATGACTTGGTATCTAAAACTAAAAGGACTTTACTCTATCTCAAGATAATAGGAAACTGTCCAAAATAATGACTTTGTATCTGAAAATAATGAGTTGTAATCCTAAAATATACTTAAATATAATAGACTTTTTCTAAATAATGACCTAGTATCACATTATAATGAGAAACTCTCTCCAAAAATAATGACTCAAAATATAAAAATGCTATCCTAAAATAAGTTTCTCTTAATTTTGAGACATTATGTTATTCTGTTGAGATGCTAATTCAATATTCCAGAAGGTTTTTCTTTATAATGACTTCATGGGTAATTTTTTCATCACAAAGCTAATGTGCATCTTTTTTTAGATTTTCTTCTAAAAGGGCTTTCATAACGAAATGGTAATTGTGCACTTGTCTTCCAGGGAGTGGAGGGAACCGGTCTTGCCTTCATTGTGTTCACAGAGGCCATCACAAAGATGCCTGTTTCTCCTCTTTGGTCCGTTCTCTTTTTCATCATGCTCTTCTGTCTCGGGCTCTCCACCATGTTTGGAAGTATAGAGGGAGTCGTGGTCCCCCTGCAGGACCTACAAATATTTCCTAAGAATTGTCCTAAAGAGGTGCTCACAGGTAAATTATCCTTCACCATGTGTGCTGGCACATTTCTACAGAGTAAGGGTTAAGTAACTTTGTGAATAAGGTACCGCACACAATGAGATGTTTTTCGCATTTCTTTAGGAGTCGTATGCCTTGTGTCCTTCTCGATTGCGCTCATCTTTGCTCTGCCGTCTGGAAATTACTGGTTAGCCCTCTTCGACAGCTTTGCAGGCTCCATCCCGCTGCTCATTATCGCCTTCTGTGAGATGACTGCCGTGGCCTACCTGTATGGAATGGACAGGTAAAAAGTTAAGACAACAGGAGATAGCTGAGCCTATTGCAATAATCCCATAATTTAGTGCAATAATCCCAAAATGGAAGTTATAGGTCTTTTACAATTGATTATTATGACATTCCTACAGAGTCCTAAGTCAAATCTACCTTCTTTGACAGGTTTAACAAAGACATTGAGTTCATGATTGGACACAAACCCAACATCTTCTGGCAGGCGGCGTGGAGAGTGGTCAGCCCTTTGATCGTTTTGGTCATCTTTGTGTTTTACTTTGTCACCAAAGTCAACTCTGAACTCACATACCTCACCTGGAATCCAAACTCGGTATGTTTCACAACTGTTGTAAGATATATTCCTCCAAATGATCACATTAAAAGAATATTTTCTGTGTCATGTTTACAGGAAAACTTCCCCGTATTGGAGGTGATACCCTATCCTAGCTGGGTCTACATTATCATCTTCCTTTTGGCTGGACTTCCAGGTCTTTTTATCCCAGGATTTGCTTTATTCAAATTATTCCAAAGATGCTGCTGCAAGAAAAACATAAATATCCTTGAGCTCAACACTGTATCAGCCAAAGTCAACATGTATGACAATCAATAAACTGTCTTACATTTCTTTGACTGAAGGATCTTCTGTGTGGATGCTCTGTGGCTGTGTGGGTTTTTCTTAGGGTGCTTCAGTTTCCTCCCAAAATCCAACGTGTACACTTGCTTTCACCCGATGTCAGCTTGGATTGGCTCCAACCCTCTAATCTAAGATATGAACATTGAATGAAACAAGTATATTAAAACAATTGAAAACAGGCCAGAAATACTATGCAATATGGGTAGAGGCAAAGGTTAATGTAAATTAAGTTTTAAATGATGCACATAGTGTATACACTATTGAAAAAGACAAAGAATAGAACAGACTAATGCATTCAAATCAACCTTGGAGAAGGGTCAGAGCGATTATAAAATTCAACCGTTTTAATGCTTTAATGCTTCCACACACCAGCTGAGCGATAACACTGTTCAGCTTGTTTTCTGTAACAGAAGTAGCTTTAAAACATGGCAGAATTAGCAAGCTGATAGATAGCCAGCTGTCAGTGAGCTGCGCCCACATGTGGTTTTACAATAACAAGCAACAACATTTGGCAATTTCCTATATAATGGGCAATGACCAGAAAAATCTGTGCGATGTCCATTTTACTCAAATGTTATTAAACTGTATTCTATTTTTATACACTGATGGCTTTGTGTACATCTTTTAAATGACCAGCTATAGATCACCAGTCATCAAACACCACTCTGTAAGTGACTGCATTTGGTTAGTAATCCTATTAGAAGGAAACACTGATTAGGTGTATATGCATTCTGAATCGCTCAACAATTACATGGCAGATTTTTTCCCTGGTATGAACACAAACAGAAAATAACTTCCTTCTCTACTCAGTTGTGATAACTACTAAAATAATCAGGATTAGAACCGTTTAGAATTAGATTTTCCATCCTGAGATAATGTGGACATCGATATGATACGCTTGTAGATCCCTGTGCAATAAAAATTACATTTCTAAAAGGGCTGGTCAATACTATAATCTATGATGGAAAATGTGTTGCCTCTGTACAGAGTTTTAACCCTGTCTGTCCAAAAGATTGTGGGTAATTTTATTTACTTTTTGCAACATATTTTGGAAACTTAACCCTCATCCTATCAACTTGGGTCCCCACAGACCTCAGAGCTAACTTTATCAACATTTTAAGTTTCTTGTAATGTCATAACAATGTTTTTAGTTTCAATTAGTTATTACTAAAAACAGCAGTTTATGTATTGTATTAAGGGGTCAAAAACACCCAGTTGCAGTCTTATAATACATACAATAGAATAACTAGATAATCTTGTAATGGGATCACATTTAAAGTACAACACTAACAGGTGGCATTTTGAAAGAGACAGAAACAAAGCAGTGCTCAGCAATATGCAAAATAACTGTTACGTTTAATAGAATAAATATATATTTCTATTAACTCAGATGATATGAATTAATAATGTAATAATGTTTGAACAAGAAGTAACGTTTTGCTATGATGGTTGTTTTGTACAGCAGTTTATTCTTCAGTAAGTACTGTAGTCCTGGGATGTTATGAGTTTTGAGGAGTGTTCAAATAAGTAAATAAACAGCCAATACAGTGCTCAATTTCCCTCACAAACTAATGAATACTAAACTCATCTTCCAGGGAGAAGTGTCAGTGACCTCATGTGATGTATTAACCATTATCAAGGAGGTTGCACCTTTCTCAGCTTAACCTTGCTGACATTACGTAACACCCCACAGAATGAAGTGAGCTACTGATAACTTCGGTTCAGGTGCCATAGGTCGCAGTTAATACCTCAGTGCCCTTTCCCAGGATACAGTAGAGGTGAAGGGCTCAGAGAAAGAGACAGTTCAACAAGAATCAGCAACAGTTTTCACAGAGGAGAATATACCAGAAAGGACGCAGCACCTCGAAGGCTTGTAGGAAAGTAGCAAAACCAACAGCTACTTACCAAAGGGAGACACAACGGATTTTCTGAGTCCAGTGAATTTTAAAAGAAGACACAATGAAGCTGAAGTTTCCAAACCCGGGACTGGATGACCGAATCCCGTCTCATGCGGAACTGGAGAGGATGGAGAAGGAGGAGGCAGGGGACAGGCCAAAATGGGACAACAAAACCCAGTACCTGCTCACCTGTGTGGGCTTCTGCGTGGGACTTGGCAATGTGTGGAGGTTCCCTTACCTGTGTCAGAGCCACGGAGGAGGTAGGCTGATTGTTCTCCTTTATAGTTTCAAGAAAACGAGCAGTGTGCATGAATTATTAAAGGATCTTTATGTGCCTTTACCTGTTTTCAGTAACTGAGGATTTTCAAAAATTTGGTCAAAATGTAACCTAGCACCTAACACCCATAACACACAGGGTTTTGTCACACATTAACTGACCCTATTGAATATATATTTTAAGTACAACTCATGTTGAAAGCTTGAAATTAAGTATCTTTTTTATGGTGGGTTAACAGAGTTTTGTAGATCTTGTGCACTGTATAAGGTTCTGTAAGAGTTTTACAAATATATATTTTTTAGCAGTAAGGTGTTTAATCTTGCTCTCTAAAAAAAGCTTGTTTCTTTCTAGACTGAGTCTTCCAAAGTTATGAATGAATCTTTAAAATAGTCTACCAACTTATCTTTGGTAATATCAACTGTTGCTTGAATTATTTACGTTTTCTCTCTCAAACTTGATCGCTAATAGTGATACTCCTATTAATGGTTTATATGGTACTAAAAGTTTATTGGTGTCTTTATGGGTACAGTTATGTGGCGGTGTGGTGAGGGTAGGTGTTAGGAGTCGGTTGCGGACAACGCCACCTGGGGGAGTTTCGCCTCCAGGTGGCATTGTCCGCAACCGACTTCTAACACCTACCCTCACCACACCGCCACACTTACCTTCATTAAAGTTGAAACTGAATAAATCAATTGATTGAGTCACTTGACTTGTCACATTGGTAACTCATTATAACGATGTCAATGTTGACAATTTAGGAGCATTTATGATCCCGTTTCTTATCCTGCTGGTCCTGGAGGGCATCCCACTGCTGCACCTGGAGTTTGCCATCGGTCAGCGCCTGAGGAAGGGCAGCGTGGGGGTGTGGAGATCAATCCATCCATGCCTGACTGGAGTTGGTGGGTAAAATAAATTGAAGAAACATGCCCATTAGATTGTGGTGCTCAATGGATGACTGATATGTCGATCTATCAACCGTTCCCAAATTACATTTATACACAATTACTTAATGGATTTACTCTCAAATGCAGGCATTCATGGTCCCCAGAGGATGAATCCTAGTCAATTTGGTGATCCTTTGACCTCTCTTTTATCATCACCATGAGGTTAAGATTTGTGGTTTTATCCTTTTTTTCATATCTAATGCCATCATCAAATCCAAATTTCACCATGTTCAACAGTGTGATTTAAGACCAAATCCCTTAAAACTAATGTTATTCTCATTATCGAGAACAGTTATCAAATGTTTAGAGCCAATAAACAAATAGTAGCATGCTTACATGTATGAAACATTGAAAACTTTACAGCCAAATATAAGCTTGTCAGCTTTGCCATTGTGAGCAAGTTAGCATTTAGCTCAAAGCACCTCACAGATAACTGCTTGTAAAACAAAACAAAAAACACCACAACTCTAATTTTTTCTTTTTGTTATAGGTATTGCATCCTTGCTTGTCTCATTTCTGGTGGGCATGTACTACAACACCATCATGGCCTGGATCATGTGGTATCTCTTCAACTCCTTCCAAAGTCCTTTGCCCTGGAGCCAATGTCCTCTAAATGCTAACAGGACAGGTATGCGTTCATACATCGAGACAACAGTCAGAACAAATCTAAAAAAAGCTGCTGAAACATGTCTTTCCAAGGCCGCTTGATCTGACCATTGCCGTCTGCTTATCTGGCAGGTCTGGTGGAAGAGTGTGCTCGGAGCACCACTGTTGACTACTTCTGGTACAGAGAGACTCTGAACACTTCAACAGCTATCGATGAGTCAGGAGGTTTACAGTGGTGGATGGTGCTTTCCCTGGTGGCTGCCTGGACTTTGCTTTATGTTTGCTGCATCCGGGGCATCGAGACCACTGGAAAGGTTTGAATATGACATTACATCTGAATGTTTGATGCAAAATTGATGCCAGCTTATGTGCTTATGTGTTCAATCACATATAAAAAGGTATGTATCAGGATCATATCTTCTTTTTTGTCTTTTCTCAGGCTGTTTACATCACCTCAACTTTGCCATACTTGGTCCTCACCATCTTCCTCATTAGAGGACTGACTCTGAAAGGATCTATAGAGGGGATTAAGTTCCTCTTCATACCAGATGTAAGCACTGCTGTAACGAAAAACATACAATTGTCAGTTTAACTAATATAGTGTAAAAAATGTAAAAACTATTTGAATTATTTGATGCATTTGCACCCTTGAGCATCTGTATGAAACCCACTAGGCTTAACTAACTCCAATATATACCCATCTGCGACCATCTTAGACGGAACCAGAAATCATGTCCTGTGTCAAATCAAAAGCTAAATATTTTTTACTGAAGCTATGTCACCGTTACACACCGTGACGTTAATAGCTTACTCAACTCAAATTGTAATCTTTTTAAAAACCTAACCAGGTCATTTTGTTGCCTAAACCTAACCAAAACGCTACCAGACACTACTACACAAAAAGGCATGGATATAGCTGGGCTGCAAAAGTTAAATAATATGACGATAAAATATGAGATTACACCACCCTTGCCAAGTGTTAGACAAGAAGATATACCTTCATTAGCATTTGACGCTATGATTTGATTAATTTGGCAACTGGATCTTGCCATGTGAAAAAAACAAGTATTTGATGTGATTTAGGCCATTCTTCTCTTATAATTTCCATACTAGCATTGCTGAAAGTCTAGCTTGATTTCGACTTGGTTCAAAATACTTAAAACCATCTCTGAGTGTATGTTGTTTAGCAATTGATTAATCGTCCATTCACTTTTTATGATCTCACATGAAGGAGACTTTATTGTGCGTCACATATTAATTATGAACAAAATCCAGGACAGTAAGTGCGTATATTGTTTGCTCACAGTTCAGATATCTAAACAGGAAATAATTACTCTAGAAATCTTGGCTTAATTAAGCGTTTTATTAAGGTATTTTGTTCTCTCTTTAAGGTAGATGAGTTAATGAATCCATCGACCTGGTTGGATGCTGGTGCTCAAGTTTTCTACTCCTTCTCTTTGGCCTTTGGAGGTCTTATCTCTTTCTCCAGTTACAACTCTATTCAGTGAGTATACTGCCTAAACTACACATCATATAATGAACCTTCTTATGAACTTCTCCCCTCACATGACCCAATTTTTGCCTTTTTAGCAACAACTGTGAGCAAGATGCCGTTCTCATCTCGATCATCAATGGCTGCACCTCTGTGTACTCCGCCACTGTCATCTACTCCATCATCGGCTTTAGGGCCACAGAGAAATTTGACGACTGCACATCAGAGTAAGTTTTCAATTGAACAAAAAAAAGCAGCCTTAAGATATATTTAGAGTTCACTTACTAGGACTGAACTTATCTCGTTGTGCTTTTTTCTTTAGCAACATCTTGAAGCTGATGAATGCCTTTAACTATCCTGAAAACAACATCACAGATGGCAACTACGATCAGGTTCTGTCCCAATTCAACCAGACAAATCCAGACATCATTCAAGGATTGCAATTACAGACTTGTGACATGCAGACTTTCCTCAGTCAGGTCAGTAGATATACTGTATAGAATATTTGACATTAGAATATAGACTTTTTTATTTGACCTCAGTGAGTTAGCAGAGGGATAATGTTTGAAATATTTGGTGTTCTCCTTCAGGGCGTGGAGGGAACAGGTCTAGCCTTCATCGTGTTCACAGAGGCCATCATCAAAATGCCTGTTTCTCCTATATGGGCTGTCCTCTTCTTTGTCATGCTGTTCTGCCTTGGTCTCTCGACTATGTTTGGGAACATAGAAGGAGTGGTGGTTCCTTTGCAGGACCTCAACATACTGCCTAAATCTTGGCCCAAAGAAATTTTCACTGGTAAATTCCCAAATGTCCTAATAAATATAGCATTATTTTTCAATTTGATAGGGTTAGGATTTTGATTGAAGAGCTTTACAGAAAGGTTGAACCCACTTCTTTGTATTGTTTTATTTCAGGTCTGACTTGCTTAATCTCTTGCGCTTGTGGACTGATCTTTACCCAGCAATCTGGAAACTACTGGCTAGCTCTTTTTGACAGCTTTGCTGGCTCTATCCCACTGCTGGTCATCGGGTTATGTGAAATGATTGCTGTGATGTACATCTACGGGGTAGATAGGTGAGTATTTGCTTGCATGGCTGGAAGTGTATATGTATCCAAGCTCTAGCCTCCTTAACGAGACCTTTTTTAATATTATATTTTCTCAGCAATGTTTTCCCTAGATCAAATGTTCGTTGTTTAAGGGGTGTCACATGCAGACTTTCCTCTGATCATACGATATTACACGTTTTTCAGATTACAATTCCCTGACTGAAGTTCTGAGAAATGCCCCAGCGCCTCGTTGGTCAGGACTTGTAGCTAGCTTATTTAAAATGTATTGTTTCTCTTTTTCTCTGCCAACGGAGTTCTTGGCGCAAAGACAACATTTACACTTTGCCACATGTTTGCAATCAGATTAAAAAATAGCAAATCGAGTTCAGCTGCAAATCTTTATGGCCATGTTGATACTGTTATATCATTAGCGTAATATCTTTAGGGAATCGGACGTTGAGATAGTGATTGCAAGTGATGGGCAATGTATGGAGCTATCAATGGACATGATCAATTATTGTTATTGCCAATGAGGGTATCAAATATTCAGTTAGACAATTCTTTGTGAAGTTGAAACAAAGAAATGGGTATTGAATTCTGACCATGGAACAGAGATAAAGAACAGTCCTCATACAGTAGGAGAGATTACAAACTAGTTTGTCTTAAGATGTAGCGACACTAAGGAATGTTGAAAATAAATGTTTCAATAACATTGTCGATCTATGCAGTAAAAAATGTGGCTTATAAGTAATATTGTTTAATATGTAAAAAATATTGCTTTATTTTCTCCCCTGCTTGTAGTCTTTCTGTTACGTAAGAACACAAAGTGATTGAAGTAACAGAGTGGAGTTTGTATTTCCTTGTTTAGCTTCAACATGTAAAACACACACAGAGCCCCACAGGCTGCTTCATTTACTGTAACTCATAAAAGTTCAAGGTTATCAACCATGGATGACTTCATACACTCTAAGCTGACATTATGTCTCCCTCTTATTGCTTCCTACAGGTTTAACAAGGACATTGAGTTTATGATCGGCCATAAACCCAATCTTTTCTGGCAGGTGACGTGGAGGGTGGTCAGTCCACTCATTATGGTCGTCATCTTGATTTTCTACTTTGTAACCCAAATCACTAAGAGTCTCACATATTTGGTGTGGGACCAGGAGGCGGTAAGTGTACTCATCAAAATTTCACTTTTTCACGTCTCTTCTACATCAACATGTGTCCCCTCTGTGTAAAGAGCTTCTGAAAGTTTCAGGAAAAAAGATCCACTCACTTTTTGTCCTGATCCATTTATATAAAAAAACCTGTCTGAAAATGAGCTGATCAGATTTTGGCCACTTTATGATGTTATAACGATTTTTTGGCTTGTGTAACCATTAGCCAATAACCCACCAAGGTAACCCCCCCCCCCCCCCCCCCCCCCCCACCTTATCACCTGAATCTCCTCCTAGAGCACCATTGAGTTCTTTTTAACCAAATATCTCACAGAGGGGTGTGGGGAGGGGCTCCTTATCTTCATCTAAAGTAACAGACAGAGAATCAGCACTTTTTAAACAGGGCTGAAACAGAGGGGATTATGGGATTATTATTATCTGTTTGGTATTTAGAGCCAAACACTTCAGAGACATGTTTTGTATATATCTGAGACCTATGATATATTGATGAAAAACAGTATAATAGGGGACCTTTAAAGATGTTTTTTAAATGTGTTATGTTAAAATAACTTTAAAATTGATGGTGATAGTAACCCACCTTTGTAATTGCAGACCTCATACGTTTCTGTACATTTATTTTACTCTTACCATAGGTGGATTTCCCAACCCTTGAAGCACGTCCGTTTCCCTCCTGGATCAACGTCATCATCTTCATCTTGGCTGGAGTTCCCAGTTTAGCTGTCCCAGGGTTCGCCCTCTACAAATTCATCCAGAATAAATGCTGCAAAAAGGAGGACTACAGTGATGACACAGTGGACACTATCTCTACCAAAGTAGAAATGAATGACAAAATGAAGATGTAGATATCTTTTACTTACATTGAATAACAGAATATTTAATAGTAACATGAATATGGACTTGTGGTGCTGTTATTTGTGTATTATGCTTACATACTTTGTCTTTCTCATGGGTTGGTACAATCACAGAAGAGCACTCTAATGACTTCTGACTTTTATCTGTGAAAAGCCGAGGGTGAATTGGAATCTGTAAAATAATATAATTTTGGAGAAAACAATAATTGCTGCTAACTTTTCGTACTACTGTGATATTGGTTTCTGGCTATATCATGTTTGACCTGTAAGTGGGTGTTGTAAAAATAAAGGAGTAGTTGGATATGTTGGGTTCCTATTTGCTTTCTTGCTAAGAGTCGGATGAGAAGATGGATACCAGTTTGTGCTCTAAATATAAAATATACAGCTAGTAGCCATTTAGCTTAGTAGCATAGAGCAGGGGTTCCCAACCTTTTTTCCCAAGGGCCCCCCCAAATGACTCCTGTTGGAAGTTGCGGCCCCCCCCCCCCCCCTGTTGGAAGGTTCCCCCCCCCTAATGTGTGAGGGGGGGGGGGGGGGGGGGGCGCAACAGCGGTAATTCAAGTTTAAAAATCTCAAAAATGCTACAACTACTGTCACAAACTGGATGAATGTGACGTATTTTGTTAAAGGAAGATGAAAGCGTAATTAAGGAGCACTATTGGAGTGACTTTGATGGTTATTAGACTCAGGATTAATTCATTTGGATTCCCGCTGTATGAAGAAATTAAAGGACGGCACAAGTGGAAACAATTCACAAAGGGATTAAACTGTTTAAAACACATGCTCAAAGTAAGCCGGATTTTGCCGATGTGTTTATGTGGATTCAAAAGTCGTAAATAATCTACAAAATGGAGGAGACCGATCTGATTGGAGCAACTGTGACAAATAATCCAACTGAAACTGGCATGGACAATGACTATGTTTTAAAAATGCGCTTATCCAGAAAAGCCTGGTTTGGACACTTTACGGGCAGAAGAAACATTTATATTAAAGAAAGAATTATACATTTCTGTCTTTTTATGCCTTTAATAGCTACTAACTTCAATTTTTATTCGAATGAATCAATTATTTTTTATATTTTATTGTAATGTAGAGACAAGGCCTTTAGTGACAATCATGTATTGCGTTACAATTATATGTATAACATTTTTTTTTTTTTTAAAGTCTAAAAATGATATTTGGCCTCAAATCATCTGAGGCACCCCCCCTGGCACCCCCCCTGCGTTCCCAACCCCCCAGGTTGGGAACCACTGGCATAGAGGCTCAGGCAAAGGGAAACAGCAAGCCTGGCTATATCCTATTTTCTAAATATTTGCAAAAAAAAGAAGCAGTTGAGACTGGCTAGCTATGTCCCTGTTTCCACTTTTCAAACAAAGCTAAACTAACCTGCTATTGGCTGTAGCTATTCACATTTAGCTAACAGAAAACATGAGGATTTTCAAATCTAACTCTCTGTGTCTAACTTCTGTTTCGATAAATGTGAGTTTACTTAATCTAATTGTCTAATATACAAATTATAATGTTTTATGTTAGAATGTAAACAATATGTAGGTATGTTTTAGATATTTAAAGCGAAATGGCAAAAGAGCTTTTTATAACACTGTTGTCTTGTTGTACTTATTGTAGAGGGCTATTGTAAAGCATTTTTAAGTTTCAGTTTATTACTGCACTTAAACTGCCATAAACTGTCGGGTTATGATCTGTTAATAATCCTCTCAGCAGTTGAGACTTAAGAGAATTTATATGCTATTAAAATAAATCATGCAGAACTTCATGAGTTAACAGACGCTCTTAAGGATCCTCCTGGCAACAGTTGTAACAAATGAAATCTCTGGTTTGATATCCCATTTACATCGACAATGAGTGTAAATAAAACACTTAAAAATAAACACTGGAGTTACAAATTATCAAAGTATTTGAATGATCTTTTCTCACCTGTTATATAAACAATCATTGTTTTAAATCTTGCAGAATGGCATGAAATGTTGGACATTTGAAAAGTACATATTACTTAAAAGTACATCAAGCTCAAAGTAGAGAGTGAACTCACTGGCTAATTTATGGCCAACAACAGATAAAGTAAAAGATCATAAACCTGTTTCAACATTGCTAAGTGCTACTGTGTATCACATGCACCCCAACCACTCACAAATGCTTCAAACACAGTAGACTCTACTTCTCTGGTTCTGGTAAGCATGAGGCTGGTACTTCCTAACCCCGGACTGGATCTCCGGATCCCTAGTTATGAGGATCTGGACAGGATGGATAAGGAGGAGGATGACAGGCCCAAGTGGGACAACAAAGCCCAGTACATCTTAACCTGTGTGGGCTTCTGCATTGGGCTCGGCAACGTGTGGCGATTCCCTTACTTGTGTCAAAGTCATGGAGGAGGTAAGACCGAAAGCTGTGGAATTAATGTTTGACAGATTAGAGTGAGGAAAATGTACCGAGGGTCAAATTATTGAGATATAATGGGAATAAAAGGCATTGTTCGATGTATCTGTGTTTATCTAAACTGATAAATTAACAATATAATTCTAACAAAATAACTGGTCCTGCAAAAGGCTACCGACCTAAAGCTAAAAGGAAAGTTAAATAAGACATTCACAGAAGACCAAGTGTCCTAATTCTCCTTCAAGTTGCTGTACATTAATGATTCTCAAAAGTAAGACGTCTTCGGTAGAAAGACCTTTGGCCTGAGCTAAAGACAGAGCTCTTTATTGGCTTGAGTTGAAAATGAATGATAAGAATTCCTTCATACTGCATACATCTGTGTGAATGTGTTGCTGTTTTCAAAAGTGTAGTGTTAAAAGGTTCACTGTTAGACACAGGAAGTGGGACAGGTTTCAAAGACATTCATACGCTTAAAGTAGAAGCAGCTTTACAGCAAAGGGAAACAATCCTTATGGATATAAATCAATGTTATACTTTAGCCTGCTGTAAGTGTTTAATGTGTTGTGCATTGTACAAAGAAAACTTAAAACAATTAAAGTCATACACATAGCATCTTATAACAACAAATGTGTAACTTTAAAGAGTATTCAGTAGTTACTGTAATACCTAACTTCTGTTAAACATTTATATACATGTCACATTTCAACCTATAGAAGGCCTATAAGGATGTTGTTATCAGCAACACTCTACTTACACAGGCATAATACCTTGAAATGCAGCAGATATCTGGATAGTGATGGCCACACACTTTTGTTAATCAGACAACTTGAACTTAATTTAGCCTAAACAACAAATCAATAAAATCCAACCAATCCAATGTTTATGCATGAATAGCAAAATGGCCTGCACTCAAGCTGTTCTTCATGCATATTATCATAAATGTCCAACCTCCCAACCACTTGAAATGTTTTAGGTGCCTTTCTGATTCCCTACCTGATCCTGATGGTGCTGGAAGGAATGCCTCTCTTGTTGCTGGAGTTTGCCATTGGTCAGCGTCTCAGGAAAGGCAGTGTGGGAGTGTGGAGGTCCATCAGCCCTTATCTGACAGGTGTTGGTAAGTTAAAAACATCACACAAGTTATCAACAAGTATTTGGCTTCCTGGGAGAATCATAATTAATTATGTTGTCTCTTAGGTATAGCATCAATGCTGGTGTCCTTATTGGTTGGACTGTATTACAACACCCTAGTAGCCTGGATCATTTGGTATCTCTTCAATTCCTTTCAAAACCCGCTGCCTTGGACCCAGTGCCCTCTTAATGAAAATGGGACAGGTGTGTATACATACAGTTTCAGCACACATATGCACACAGAGAGCATCCACAATTCATAATTGTTTTTGTATTTGTTGCCCCTTTAGGATTTGTACCAGAGTGTGAACAGAGCTCCACTGTTGATTATTATTTCTACCGAGTGACTTTGAATAGTACCACCTCTATAGCTGACTCTGGAGGAATCAACTGGCCGATAGTACTCTGCCTGTTAACTGCCTGGACAATTGTGGCAATCTGCTGCATAAGGGGCATCAGCACAGCAGGAAAGGTTTGTTGAACTTAAAGAAACTCAAATTGTAAACAAGACCCATCTACTCCACTACTTTCAGAACTTCAATCTTTTGCCAAATATCAATAATTCCATGTTTCCTTGTCATTGACATCAGGCAGTGTACGTCACAGCCATCTTGCCTTACATAGTGCTGGGCATCTTCCTGATCAGAGGACTGACTCTAAAAGGTGCCACGACTGGATTAAAGTTCCTCTTTACACCAGACGTATGTTTCAAATCTTCATAGGAACGTTGAATCTCATAACTCAGAGGCGCATTCAAATGTGTGCCTCTCCTTTGCAGGTGAATGAGTTGATAAAACCATCCACTTGGCTGGATGCAGGTGCCCAGGTCTTTTATGCCTTTGGTTTGGGGTGGGGAGGCCTCATCTCCTTTTCAAGCTACAACCCTGTTCAGTAAGACACATTTAGAGGACATGTGATGATTCTTAATTTAAAGTTCAAGTCTCATTTTGCACACTTTGATTGGAGTAGCCGTTCTCAAAACCGAAGCCAAAGTATTTATTTTGCTTATTTCCTTTCCCAAGCAACAACTGCGTGCAAGATGCTGTGATCCTGTCGGTCGTGACTAGCCTCACCTCAGTGTATGCTGCAGCAGTTACTTACTGCATCATTGGCTTCAGAGCAACTGAAAAATATGATACCTGTATCAGTGAGTGAGTAGTCACATGCCTCGGTTTCAATGTTTTTATAAATGAGAAGTCCTACAAGTATATTCTACCTTGCTTTTACTTTGAAGTCGTCACAATTGTATCGGTTAGATTGTGGACATTTGAGTCAAAAAAGGTAAGGGTCCCTTTACACTTGTAGTATGGACTCTTCACTTTACTAGTTGACATCTAAATAATGTAGTAAAATAGACAAATCTGTATTCATCTTCTCATGTACAATATAAATGTGCTAATCTGTGACTTTTGTTCCTATAGTAACATCATGAAATTATTAAATGAATTTGAGCTCCCTGAAGACAACAT